CAAGAAAACGTTCGTCACATTTCCTCATTTCCCTTGTTCAGTCATTTCTTTATACACCAATTGAAAGCGGTTCATCCAATTCCCTCTCCGATCATACATAAACATGGCATGTGAATAGGACTAGCGAGTAGTAAGAAAAAAAAACGCCAAGAAGAACACAAGGCTTAAAAAAAGAAGCATGGGGTAAATAGTAGAGTCAGAAAAAAGAGAGATCCTTTACTGCTTGTATGTCTGTGAGTGTGTGCCTTCAGTGCATCTCGGGGGGTCCATCTCTCGTTCCCATTCATTCGCCTATTCATCGACCCCATATCTAAAGGATCCTCTTCTGTCTGGAAACAACCTCTTGGCTCATTGACCTGATCCTGGTCCGGCCGTCCACATACCACAGGAGCTAAGCCCTTCCTTCCAAAGGGGTGTGGTCATTTCCATTTTTTTGCTCCTTATTATTGTGAAGACCTACCACTACTGCTCTTCGTCTTGCTCAGCTGTTCTTTTTTTTTAAATTTTTCTTGAACGTTCAAGAAGAGTGAAAAGAGAACGATGAGGAGACATTATTCGTATCACGATCGGCCGGCAACCTATGCGCAGTGGTCTAAAAATAGAACACTATTGTTGTGCAAAATGCTTCCCAAGTGAGTTTACTCCCGATGATCACAAAGAAGATCATGTCTATCCTCTTTTTCTTTTTAAATCTTTCGACCAGTTGAAATTGTTGAACAAAACACAAAACTTATCTGATGAACTCCATTGAACTTTCGGGTTAGCTGTTTTCCAGCAGCACGAGGCGGAAAATAAAAGCAAAAAAATGTTTGGTAAACATATTTGTCTGATGAAATCTTACTATGAAGTCAACACATTCCGTGTTACGTCACAAAGCCAGGGACCACTAGAAATGAAAATCCCTGGATTTGCCTCTCCTGTATTCATATTTCTAGTCAAAGGGACACATGTTCAAGAATCAAATTTTCCCTCTGGCAAATTTCGAAAACTTGAGAAAAGTCACGTTGGCACGGAAAGATTACAAAGTTTTTTTGGGTAGTCCCTCCTGGCCAAATATAACCTCAGATTTATTGGAATTTCAAAAACTCAGAAGTTGAAAATAACCACATTCACACGATGATTTGAAGCTGCTGACTCCCTCTACTATACTGCTCAAAAATCACACAGACTGCTCAGAATCCAACAACTCAAAATGAGAAGAAAACGACAGACGTTCATGGTGTTCTATCACATTTCGAATGAATGATTTATTGCTATATTTAGGCTTATATAGAATGTTTGAATTGAATAAAAAAAGTATGCCAATTTTTCTAACATCATTTTTTTCTAGTTCAACCTTTTGGTTCATCGGGCGGACGGGAATTAATTAGTCTCTGAAAAAAAATTTTTCTTGCTTTTTCTCTAAAACTAAGCATTCTATTCACTCCAACACTAATTTCTTCTCTTCCTCCATATGTTGCGGCTTAAACCGTCATGGCTCACTTATTTTTGAGCAACGGAGACCAAGACCAAGTGTAGAGGTCGTATTATTTTTGGGAGAAAAAGTACTAGACACATCGTTTTGAATATTTCATGAACAGAATTTTTTGTTTTCTCTGCTATCCTGATTTTCTTTATCGAGAGATTGCAAACTTTTCCTTGTTATTTGGATTCTTTACTGGAACACACATTTTATTCCCGCTATTATTTTTCAATGAAATTTTTGCAGATCTATGACGCTTTCCGTCCCTGACTGTGCTGAGGTCAATCGGCTTCGAATGTCAAACCACCGAAAAATGAGTTTGGGTAATGCTCCACTGATAGCTAATGGAAGACCAAGTCCTCCACCACGACGGACAAGTTTAGCAGGTATTGTAATTTATCTTACTTCGAGATTAATCCATTGAGTAAGACTAATGCGGTTGAGCAAAAGAAAGAATAATAAAGTATAAGAAAGAAATTGAATCAGTAATGGATTGTCTGGGTTTCAAGTTATTCAATTAGCGAATCTTTAGAAGAGCATTGCTAACAACATACATATACATTTATCTTCTGCGTGTGAGACCAGAAAGAAATTTTGGAAGAGAAGGACAAAAATCAGAAAAGGTCGTATAGTAAATGAAAAATAATGTGGGGAGCGGATGAAGACAATCATGGCAGAGTATTGTAGAAAGGTGGATTACAATTGAGATTCCAGTCTTTACAAGCGAGAGTCACCACTAAAAGACTATTTTAAAAACATTCCCATTTTTCGTAGAATGTTCGGAAATTTATCTTTCTGAAATTGATAAAGATGAATTATTTTGAACGTTTCTAAGTATTTTTTTCAGTGTTTTCACAAACATCAAAGAGTTTTTCAAGTTATTATCAGGAAAAAAAAACAAAAAAAAAACAAATCTATGCTGAGCTACATCTGGCACGTACGCTTTGAGCTCAATTATATCTGTTGCCATGAAAATTATCAAAATTTTGTGAAAAATTAAAATGTTGGTGATATCATGACAAACATTTCATCAATTAACAGATTTTTTATATCTCTTAAAGGAACGTAGATAATTGAGTTCAAATTTCATGTACAGTGTGGGCTTCTAGTAGAGCATTTACGGTAGGCGGTGTCCCATAAAAAATGTAGAAAGTTTCAAAGATTTACCATGTTCCTTTCATTTTCATTTCGGTGCATCATGAACTCCAAAGGACCTCTGTTTTATTTTCAACTACTGAAAAAGAAGAATCATGGGATTCTATAAAACGTCTTTTCTGGAACAGTCTTCATCAAATTTCCAAACTCTTCCAATTAGCCACCAATTACTTCATCTGCCCACACAACTCTCTCTAATTTTCTCCATTCTATTTTCTCCTCATTCTGTTCAAAAACGTCTTTTTGTACAAAAATCTTTGTCGACAAGACGTTTTTCGGAATAGAGCTCCGTCCTTTTCTCAAATCGTTCAATTTTATTTTATGGTCAAACCTCCTTTTTGGATATCTTCGTTGTCTTGCTCTTCTCTCTTCCTCCCTTCCTAAGCCGTCGTCGAAGAGGAACCTCCCACGATCCGTGCTCAAGAGTCAGATATTTATATTGGCTCCAATTTTCGTTGAGGCCTCTGTCTCTGTTTTGTTTCTTCTGAACATACAGTTTTTGTGTTGAACAAGAAACAACATCGGTTAGTCTTCTGTTTTTTGGTGTTTATCCCATTATATAGGTTCATGGATGTCCAAATGCAACGTCTCGGAGGTAAGGCTAAAATCAATGCATTTTTAAAAAGGCCAAGTTTTGGGAAGTAAACACAAGTTGCACCTAAAGAAAAGTAATAATATGGGCTCAAGATTTCTAAGTAGTTTTACTTTCCTTGAAGAGCTCTTCCACTTCATTTTATTTCCCGAAAATGGGTGTAAGAAGTAGGTTGAGAGCAAACTAAGAATGTCTTCTCTTTCTTCACAGCTCTCTTCATTTTCCTACTTTTCTGGTTTCTCCCATTTTCATTTCATTTGGTGAAATCGACCACGGGGGCATCCTTCCTTTTGATGACGATACTATCGGTGGTGGCTTTCGTGGTGTTGCCCCGATGGTTCCACGCCCAAATTGGGCGCTGTTTGCCCAACACACCACCACCACCAGAGCGGTGCCGTCAGACCCATTCTCCCAATTTCTAAAATGCTCTTTCCTTTTCTCTACTTCTGAATTTCGCAAATCTCGCTAATTCGTGTATGTAATTCAAACCTCCATCTGCCGCCGTCATGAGCACGGCTACTTCCATTTCGGCGATTCTTTTCGTTTTCTTTTGGCTCATTTCACAACTGACGACGGTTCGCTTTTTTCATTTTCTTTCTCGGAAAAGATGTATAGCAGCCGTGTCTTGATGGACCATGCAATGAGCCTCAATTATCCTTTCTGCCATTTGACAGTAAAAGCAATCTCAGTCAGATTATGAAAGCATTCGCGTTTCTGGCTTTCATTCCAGAAATGTCCTCCTGCTGTTTATGATCGTATAGTCGTAAAATACAATTTTTCACTTCCAAGAAGATTTTATCTCCTCGCCATTATAACCCGGATATAGAATCTGCTGCACGATTACTGTAATCTGTGTTCAAATGTAACAATTCGATAGAAAATGGAGAATCTGTTTTTCCGAGCCAGAGTTTTATGGATTCTGAACATTTCGGAAAATTATTGAAAAATGAGTTGGATTTTCCAGAAGATTTACAATGCTTCAATTCAATTCAAACCACTACGATTTTGAATACAGTAGTTCTCAGAATTTTCGGAAACTGGATGCTTCATAGTTACAGTAACCCACAAATTAAGTTCTTCGGAATCAGGAATGCTTCAAATGGTCTTTTCGAAAATTCTCGGAATGTCGGTAATTCCGAGTTTCAAAATTTCAGGATTCCATTTACGCATTACAAAAGTTATCAATCAGTCCAAAAAACTACACTTCCGAAAAAAAATTTGAAAAAAAAATCTCGTTAGAATTTCGAGATTTTTCTGAATTCCGAGTTTTATGGCAGCCCTAAAATTCGGTATCATGGATCAATTTTTTACTAAAAGTTTTGGGGAAACTTCGAAACGGTCGGTTCTAAACTCATTTGGCGACGATTTTTTTCAATTACAGCCGTTTTTTCCTTTCAGAACAAACTGATTTCCTTTTGAAATTCGATTCTTTGTTTTTCCGCATCGTTTCCTCCCAATCAACAACATTTGTCAACAAAAATGGATACCAAAAAGCTATTTGCAGATTGTGACGTCACATCTCTGTTACAAAAAAGTTGCTCCTCTGACTATAGGAAGTACATGAATCATACATGTTCCATTTTGCTTTTGGTCATCTTTCTCATACATTTTTAAAATGTGTGGTATGATCCCGAGCCCAAAAACGCTGAGGCGTCACGTTCACACTTGAACAGATGTTTTTTTACAAGAAGGGACATAAGAGGGATTGATGGTCTATGAGAAACGCTCGTTTTTTTGCTGGTTTTGAAAAAGGAAAACGGAAAAAAGACATGTGGTGTGTACAGAAAGCAAATGAGCTGCCTTTCATCCATTCCTCATTCAAAAACCCTTCTTCCTGTGTTTTTTGAATTTATCCAACCGAATTTGTTCACAAGTGTTTTTTATTCAGCTTTTTCAGAAAGCATCCGCACGCTGGCTTTCACCGCTCGTCGCAACTCTTCTCCCCTGTACCGTAAGTCGACGAAGAAACTCAAGAAGAGTCGACTCGTCGGAAAGAATGGTATTTGCAATGTTTACAACACTAACGTCCCCAAGAAAGACAGACAGTACCTACGGTGAGCTTTCTCTTTTCTTTTTTTCTTAAAACAGAATGTCTGGACATTCGACAATAGAACTTTTGATTGTCCGAGGGCGGAAAATTAAAAAATAGAACGGAAAACAAAACATTTTTCTATCAAAATTTTTTCGTGAAACAACAGGAATTCATAGTGGGCGAAAAATAAATATTTCTGCAGAGGGTTGGAATTTTCTATTAAATTCTAAAAGTTTATAAACCAGCCGAAAATAGATTACAGTACTCTTTTTTTCAGAGACATTTTCACGACTCTCATTGATGTGAAATGGCGATGGATGCTCTTGCTTTTTGCATCTGCATTCGTGTTGAGGTAGATAATAAAAAATGAGAAGCCAATTCGAGAATTTCGTTTTCAGCTGGAGCGTCTTTGGAACCACCTACTATCTCATTGCCTTGTTTCATGGAGATCTCACAGACCCACTGCCAGCCAATCATACTGCATGTGTGGTGAATCTGGATTCTGTCTACTCGTCTTTCTTGTTTGCTGTGGAAACTCATCATACAATTGGATACGGACACAGATACATCACTACAGAATGTTATCTTGCTGGAGTGATCGTTTGTCTTCAAGCAATATGTGCTCTTCTCCTTCAATCTTTTATGGTCGGAATCGTTTTTGCCAAAATGGCAAGACCAAAGAAACGAGCCGAAACTATCATTTTCAGGTATATCTGAAGTGTTAAGAACTTTTTCGATTTGAATTTTCAGTGACAAAGCTGTAATTTGCTTAAGAGATGGACAACTTTGCTTCCTTTGCCGTGTTGGTGATATGAGAAATACTCATCTGGTGGAGGCACATGTTCGACTTCAATTTATTACGGATCGTGAAACTAACGAAGGAGAGGTACATCGATATTATTATTGTTTGCACTTCAGGATGTCTCAATCTCTAACTCTCTGTTTTCCGTTTTCATTCCATTAGAACATTCTTTCCAGATTGAACCCCTTCATCAATTTGAAATGAAAGTCGGACCTTCAATTTCCGACGACGACCGACTTTTCTTGGTGAGTGACATAAATGGAAAAACTGGCTGTCTTTTAGAGTTCGAAGTTCGGAAAAATTGAGAAAAAAGAAAAAGACAGAAAATTGAAAGAAAGAAGGAACGAAAAAAAAATAACTGAATTCCGTTAATCTTGAGTTCGATGTCTAAGCGGATGCGCATGGGAATGAGAATGAGATTTCTGTCTGGAGATTGAGTAAAGAAAAAAATTTGGTAGACGGAAGGATGTCAAATCAGAGAACGTTTTTAGGGGAAGCATTTCGGGTCTTTGAAAATGCTATAAGTCAGGACGCAATCATGGAAATTCGTAATTTGACAGTTGGACTTTGTCTGCCGGAACCAACATTGCCCGTACACTGTAAATCAGAAGTTTTGACAACTTCTGCTCAAAAACTGATGCAAAAATAAAGAAAATTCGTTCATTTCGTCAGAAAATGTAAATTAATTTAAAAATCGCCTGATTAAAGAAAATATTCGCATAATAAACTTGGAATTCAAAGCGCGAATTTTCCACATTTTAAAATATTATTGAATTTTCAGAAAATTTCATTGAAGACTTTACGAGCTTTTTGTTTCGCAGAAAATGTTTTTTTTTCAATTGACCCCAAATTTTTTTGAAATGACAAAAAAAATTACTGAAAACAAAAAAGGGCCGGGTTTGGCTTTGAAAATCCTGAAAAAAACTTTGAAACTATGAACTCCGGGGGTTTCAAAAAGTTTAATTTGATGTTCAGTCAACAACCAAAACTTTATGGAGATGGTTCAAAGTGATTATGAAATTTTTTGAACAGTCCCACAAAAAAAAATCAGAATCCCAGTTTTCTAGGTCTGGCCAACCACCCTCTGCCATGTCATTGATTCTCGCAGCCCACTTTATAACTACAACCAGCAAAGTCTTATGTCCGCTCAATTTGAAATTATCGTCTTGTTGGAAGGAATCGTTGAATCAACCGGAATGACCGCTCAAGCCAAAACATCCTACCTACCATCGGAAATCTCCTGGGGTCACCGGTTCCGCAAACTTGTCACCTATCAAAGATCCAACGGATCTTACCAAATCGATTATGATCTCTTCAACAGCACCTATCCAGTCCGCACACCTGCCATGAGCCCAGCCGAGTTCTACTCTTCTAAACCAAATGTATTAGTTTCAGGTTGCAAGACACATTTAACAATTAGTATTTCAGCTCAAAGACTACTACTGCCATGATAGTCAGGAACACAAACTGGAAGACAACCGATCTTCAGATTCTACTCCACTCCCTTCTCCATCTCCATACAGCTATCCTTCAACTCCAATGAATCATTTCCAATCTACTTCTAACTCTCCAGTATTCTCCAATGCACATTCTAAATTTAATACAGAGGTAGGTCAGATAGTTTGATCTTGGTGATAAAAATAGGAAAATCTATTTCTGTAACCGCCACCAGACAGTACAATTTACAGGCCGTCACTTGCGAGGCGGGAATGTTGTGCCCACCAACGATTGTTGTGCAATGTCCATCCACGTGCGCATCTCCCAATCATATGAGACGAACTCGGAATCAAATGGATAAAAGCCGCACAAGGTACAGTATGTGTCGCGTGGAATTTCCTAGCACGTGACAATGCTAACAGATTATTTTTTACAAAATCGGGTGTTTAAAACATCCGATAGCGTGTTTTGAAATAGTTGGGATCCAAACAAAGAGAAAACAGAAAACTGTAATCAAAGAAGACAAACAAGACTATGTACTCAAGGTGGCTTTTCAAAATAAAGTGATTTGTTTAATTGAGAAGTTAACTATCATTGAATGTTAGAATAGAGGACGCAACTTGACTTTGAAATTTCCGAATTTGAAAAATGGTTAAAAGAAAATATCACTAGATAGATTGAACATAAAATAAGACATTCAGTTGAGAGGATTTGATAGTTAACGGTACATGAAAGGAAAAATCATAATGCCCTCTCTTAGCTCGTTCTAAAAATCAAAAAGAGTGCTGTTAATTTCGAGAGGTTTCTTCAACAAATCATTAGCTCGTATATTCAGAATTTCAAGTGTTTTTATAGAAATCCTTTATTCCGTTTTTCAGTAGCTCCTGCGATCTCACCCGTCCTAGCACAGCCTTATCAGATTTGGAAGAAGAATGCTCGGACAGCGGATCTCCAACTAAATGCCAATCGCCACCAGTGGCTCCAATCCACATCGAGATCGTCAGCGAGACATAGCTCCGTTTAACTAATAACTGTGAAAATTGTATATCTTTGAATAACCACTCTCATTTCTTGTATTCCTTCTCTCTGGAAATTTTATCGTTGTGCATTCATTGCTTTTTTCAAACCGACCATTAATTTTTTCCCGGATTTCATCACTTTTCTGATTCAAACAACAGTTTCTCTCTCGGCGTTTTCCGCCTCCTGAAATTTCTGTTTTTCTGATGATTGAAATCATAAAAATAGGGGCGGAGCTTGACTCCGATCAACACGCCCAGTTCGAAACTGTTTTTTTGTTTTTAGCTTTCATTCCCTCCAATTCATTCCAATCTTTCCCCCTGTCTACCAAACCACCCTGGCTGCCTTCTTTTCTTGTTTCTCGAGTTCCTTTTTTTCCTCTCCATTTCTCACCTAGCAGAAAAATGACTCTGCTATGAGACCCCTATCACCTTATACTTCTTACTCTATTTAGTGAACAAACACTTGGTAGTGATATGTTTTCGTCGCCTTTTTTGGACAACTCTCACCCGCTTTTTCTTGCTTTTTTCCTGATTTGCTGCTAAAATGTCATTAATTTTGAAAACAATTAAAACATCCGAAAAAATTAGAACGGAAGCTTCTTTCCGTGTTTTCTCAGTTTTGGTGAACAAACAGAAACGTTTTCTAACAGAAGAAAGGACAAGAGGGGGTCAGAACACTTGAAAGGACTTTCTGGTGTTGGTGCTCTGATGATTCATTGAGCTCCGCCAGCGCTCCTACTGTCTGCCATAACGGTTTGATGGTCATTATAGAGCGTGGCGTGAAAAAACTCAACTTTTGAATTCCTAAATACTGTATTGAGAAAATCCTAAAATGATATTTAATACCTATAGGGAATTGGCGAAAGCTACAGTAAACACTCTAGTAGAACGCCACTCGGAGCGTCCACTTTGAGTTTCTATATCTCACTTATTTTGAAAAGTATCAAAAAGTTGTCAACTAATAAAATGATTATCATAATATCAGCAACAGTTTATTGGTTAGCCACTTTTTGATGTCTCTCACAGAAAATGAGATACGTGTGCTCAAAGTTGACGGTTTATGTGGCGTTCAAGTAGAGTGTTTACGGTAATTATCATTAAGCTATTTTCCTACTGCTTTCCTTTGTATCATTGTTTTAGCTAAACTTTTTGTACCGGAGCATATCTTAAAGGTGGAAGGTATTCCTAAATCCTATATTAATTATTAATTTCAAAATTTTCGCCGATTTTTATCATTTTGGTTCGTTTTTTTTCCAATTTATAATGAAAGAGCTATCTAAATTGCCAAGAAGTGGAGAGAATAAAAGTAATAGTTTTTGAAATATGCTCACAGAATACTCTAGTTTGTTGCTTTTAAAATAAATCACACGAGATATCCGATCTCAACCATTTTTTTTCTCAGATAATAAACACCATCAATTTCTTCATTCCCCTACTTCATTCATACATTTTCAGAAGTTTTCTCAATTTTTGCCCAGCTTTTATGACTCACAATCATATCTAAATAGAATAGCAAATTACAATAACACCAACAAAATGGAAAGTCATTAAGATCTTTTATCATTTTGAATTGTTATGTAAATTTTCTATTTTTCGACTCTAGCCTCTTTCAATATCTTCTGAATCTCTAACATTTATTTTCTCACAGAACGTTCCATACAACCATCAATCAACCTTTCCGCAATCGAGGTCTATGAAGCGAAAAAATGCGGATGGTGCGCGGGAGTGACGAACACATGGGAGAGGAAGACGGGGAGCTAAGAGCGGGGAGCGGGTGCGGGCGCTTCTTGTCGCCGTCCATCAGCTGTAGCGTTTCTCCTGCGCAGCAACACCACCGGGCTCTTTTCATTTCGCGCCCTCTTGGTTTTTGTCATATGACACAGTCATAAGCTCCATTTGCATATTGGTGAATCGTCTCCAAGGTCAAACCATCCCAAACCGAGACCATGTGCTGTTGCTGCACCTTTCTGTTGATGTTTCGCTGTTTTGAGTTTCTATTTGATTTGCTCTTTACTGGACTTAAGAAAAATAATACGCTCTTCTTCTTGCGACAGTTTATCATTAAAAGTCACATGTCATATTTAACCTTAGTTTTACATCTCTTCAAACATATTGAAGCTTATTCCCTTACTCTTTAAAAATCCAAAAAATAACCGAGTTTCTAGGAAGCAGAAAAAATGGCTGTTATCATTCCTAGTTCACTATCGCTAATGATTTCAGCATTTGAGCCTATAATTTAAAGTAGAAGGGTCTCCACCTTATCATGCTTCGGCTCAATTATCTCAATTCTTAAAAAAAATATCGAAAACGTGTCAAATGACAAAACTCTTCTGATATTATGGTAAACAATTCATCAGTTGACAACTGCACGGATCTCTCTGTTTCGATTCACTACGAATATTCTCGATTCCGTTCTTGATTCGGTCGGTCTACTTTGTTCTAGAAAAAACATAAGTTCGCAAAAAGATAAAAATTAAATAAAAATAAGTTTTATGGTTTCAGTAGTATTGTTGTGGCAGTTTTTGGAACAACATTTTAATTTCTAACGTTTTCTAGTGGTTTTCTATTATCAAAATCTGGCCGGACCTAACTTCTCAAAAAAAATATTTTTTATTCTTCTCTATCAGCAGTTCCATTTTGGGATACTGTATTTTGCATTCAAGTTTTCTTATCGACCAAACTCAGTAGTCCCAAAGTCAAACCGCGCGCATTCTAATCACAGTGACCCTCCCGCACACAGTCCTCATTCCCGGACCCCTCGACAGATGGTCCTTTCTGTTTCAGTTTTGTGTCTGCGTCTCTTCTTCTTACACACACACACACACACATCTCGTCCTCACAACGATACTCCGTTATAACGTTTTTCTGGAAAACACAACCGTGTTTATCCATTCGGTTTTAATGGCTAAATTGTCGTACGGTTTTCACCCTTTTATTACGGCGTCGGTTTTCTTTAAAAGGCATAATTTTTCTGTAGCTTTTGTTCGGTCACGTTGGCAAGATCATCGACCGTTTTTTATTTGTTATCCTATTCAATGGATGAGCTGAATAGCTTTTTGATCGATGAACTAGGAAATCATCAGCCACTAATGACAGTTTGAAAATTCAAGTCTTCGTGAGTAATATTGTCCCGAGTTTTGGTATGTAAGGGACAGGCCCATTCTTGTAGTCACTGTTTCTCCGAAACCTCCCATATTTCTCTCTGATATCGGCGTCATATAGGATAGGACGAACTATGTTTTATCTGCAATCGGAAAGCGACGAAGAGAAATAAGTCAGGTTCTTTATCTGTAACATTTAAGTCCATCGGGGGTTGTAGAGATCTCCCTGTTAGATTGATCAGTTCAAAAGTGCAAATTTTCTAATCAAGGAGACAAGGCTCCTGACATTTCTAACTCATCAAAAAGTTCTAAAGTCAATTGAAAAGGTGTCCCTTGTGAAAGAAATTAGTGGCGTGTAGGGCTAAAGTTAATCACTTTGTTCACACTATTTAAGGTCACTGTAGGACTCTCTGTTTGATCATTTTTCAAAAATCAGTTTTAATTCTGTAGGTCACGCCTATTTTCTGCTAGATGAAGTAACTATTGTCATGGGGGGCCTAACTTATTTTCCAGCAATAAACATCTAGTTTGATTGGCAGATTCTCATTTTAGCTTATTAGATATCAAACGCATTGGAGAAATCTACCGCAACCTGTAACCAAATTTTATAGTTCTTAGGATAAAAGCTCATAGCATCTTCCTAGTCGCTTGGTCAGCTGTTACCTAGTTTTGGTGTTTGCAAACTTCTGACCTTCTCGAAGCAACTAATTTTTTTTCCGAATCAGCGAAATTTTGCTCTCCGAAGAATTTATTATCAATAGTTCACTACTAAAAACCTACAGCTATAAAACACGTAAACGCTAATAAAATTACGTAATTAATTATCATTGAAATTCGAGCAAAGATAAATCAAAAATCGCTACACAAGCGAAAGTTGTTTCCTCATTGGAGATCATGAAATTGAACTTTTTCAAAATAAAACAAAAATAAACAATGATCGCTTACTCCCACAGAAAACATTTTTAAATGACTCATTCTAAAAGTTTTTGACAGTCAGGGTGACGCTTGCTTCCGGAGAGATTCCGACATTTTTCTGTGTTTGCAATTTGAATTTGCTAAAAAAATATTTTGGAACCCAATGCCACGTGATGAAATATGATCCAGAATTTGTTGGAGCTGTCCAATAAATCATTCACATATAACTACTGGAAAAACTTAGCAAGTAACTAGAACATATCTTTCCGTTCTTTCGGACAACTCCTCTTTCAAATTTTTATGTTTCTTCTGCTCTTAGTATTTTCAATTGACGTTTCAGTTATAGATTCAGAGATTCTAGTCGAAATGTAAACAAATTCATAGAGGAATGCAACGATAATAAATAATCAGGTGCACTTGTCATTGACATCGAAGGCGGTAATGATAAAAAACGACAACTTCTGGCATGTCTACTCTGATTATCTTTCAATTTTTTGCTCTCTCGCTTTCTCGCAACAAGAGTTATTTAACTCCAAATCATTCTAGTGATAAGGAATTTTTGAAAGCGTTTCCGATTTTTTGGAGAAGACACAAAAACGCCGTCACGAAATATGAGTTCATAATTTTTGAATTAATTTTCTCCAATGTCATATTATTTTGTCTCGTCTATTTAATTAATTCTTCAGACTGTTACTTCCAATTATTGAAAACATTTACAGCGAAACTCTTCAATTCATTCAATTAACTACCATTTCCGATATGCCAAACTCTTCACCGGGTCGCCACTCTAACCGGGCTTTCCGCCTTGGTAAGTTCCTCATTTATTTCTCACAAGATTCACAGTACTTTTACAGGAGCCGATGACTTGGAATTAGAGACATCATTCGGGAGTTTTCCAACGCCGGATCCGTTGGGACATCTTCTTAATCGTGACATCAACGAGCACTCACCGCGTGAGTTTGAATTATTGTAGAGAATGACGTAGATCACTAGGTCAACTTTTGGAGAACATCACAAATTTTGCTGGATTTTAGTGATAAGAAAATGTGATGATAACCAACTGACAATGCTACATTTTGTGTTTGAGGGGTGGTAGGATTAGGGCGTCGAGGGAGGTGTCAATTCAAATTGGTAGGTGAAGAAGAAAGGGAAAATGAACCGCCTCAATTTTCAAACCATTACAAGGGAACCTCAGCCATTGTGAACCCAGTTTCGATAACAGTTTTAGGATAGCTGTAGAATTGCAGATCTAGACAGTTCTGAAATTCATTGAGTGTCAATCAAGTTATATCAATTTCAGCATTAAAACAAGCGACTTTCAAAGACTAGTTTTTCAAATACTAGAACGTTGCAGAACATGAACTTTGTGGTGTTGTACTTAGGTTTCTATGAAACTTTCTATTTCAGACGTTTTATTAAATAAACTATTTTAAAATTTTCGTGATGAAAGATTTTGAAATTAAAAAAAATGAGAAGATGACTGAAATATAAAAAATCGTTAAATTCTAAGTACATATAACACAACAAATGTTTTGTGTTAACACTTGTTAGAAGTGAAGAAACTTGTCTTTGAAAGTCGCTTTATTACACTGAAAATGCAATTTTTGGTACTGAAATGTTATTTCGACTGAAACTGGCGAGCGGGTCCTAATATATTCAAAAGCGTCTAGATAGACTAGTTTTAACCTATGCTGAAATTTAAATAAAAATCTGGGCTCGCAGGTTAGGTTAACTACATTTGGATTTTTACTGATAAAATATTTTTGAAACTATGAGAAATTTTTAGTGATCTTGGAGCGTATTCGCGAGGAGAGCGAAGATGATACCAGTGGACCTCTATCCGTTGAAAGCAACACGTCTTCAAATGAACGACTCCCAGCATCCATTGATATTTTCTCTATCATTGATGACAGTGAAGAATGGAAGCCAACGGCTAGATTCTGCCGCTATGAATGGGATGTTGAAGGATTCGACAATCATCTTGGATGCGCTCACGTTCCGATTATGCCAATGGAGACGTACCAAGCTCTTCAGATAATACTTGGAAAAGTTATCATTCATCGTCATGTCGAGTTTTGTGGAATTGGAGGCTTGATTTATTACATCGAAAAGAACATTACTGATCCAGATTTTCCGAATCTGGGTGAAACGATCAAATGTCTTCTTGAAAACAGAGTAGCTAAAGTTGAAATGGATGAGTCGAAGCGCATGAATAGAAGAATGAACTCGTCTTCTCAATCGTTGCATGTCGACCAATCGATCTCCAATCCTCCAGGTAATTTGAATTTAGTCTGTGTTTTCATAAACTCTTTTTTCTTTTCAGCAAGAATCCCACGGAATCTCATCTCGGAACCAAACAATTTGGCTAGCATGGACACACATCCAGAGAGAAGATTGGCCCCATCCAAATCAGGACTTCGTTTTGGTGCTTCTTTTGTCAGACCGTAAGTTTTGAATACGATGTTGCTCACAAACATGATTTTCGATTTTCAGTCCACCCCTCGACTTCACTGATTCCGATGAGGAGAGTGATCAGAGTCCAGAACATAGTATTCTCATTTGTGGAGCTGTTGAAGAGGCTACCGTATGCCGTCTTGTGGCTATCCGATTTGAAGAAGCCATTGTGATGAAAGACGTACTGAGTTAATTTCTGCTGTTCTCTTTCTTAGTATTTTTGTTTCCAGATCAACCCAAAACGCAAAAAGCCAACAAGAACTCTCTATTTCTTGCTTGGCCCAAACTTGCCAGAACACTCGTACCTGGATCTCGGCCGCGCATTCGCCACTATCGTCTCTAACCCGGTTAGTTTTGTATCGGTCGTTTGCCAGGCAGTGCAAAAAGTGTGAAGGCACGTCTAGAACAAACTGCATTGCGTGCACGCGTTCTAAATCCGATGACGATTTGGAGGGAGAGGTTAACAGTGTGAAAAAATGAGACACAAAATTTGAAATTTTTGTGAGTAGACTGTGGAGAATGAGATATTCTTTTTATGTGTGTGTGTGTAGGTTTTGTTCCACTTTGAAAATCATATTTGACTTTGGTTGTATGTTCAGTTCCAACGACCTTGAATACCCCGTATCGCAAACCGTGTTCAGTACTGTAGAGCTAGATAAAACCTTCCAATTTGATTTATTTTGTTTTCAAGTTAGTATAGCAACAAACATTTAGCAATCATTTTATATGAATGAAAACAATCATTTTCGATAAAGACTGTGATCAATCTTCTGGCTTCTACAACTCTCTTAATAGTAGATCATTGTTTCACTTTCTGATTCTGACTAGTGATCTTCAAAGGTTGCAAAAGACAGACACCCCCTGTCTTATTTTTCATTGAAAAGATAGTGTAGGAGATCTTGATAAGACTGATGACAACAGAATAAAAGGTTTAGGATAGTGGTTCCTTTTTATCATAACACTCTACTATCTTTTTTATGAGTTTTGGTTTTTGTACTTTTCACCAGAGAACGATATTCATCGAGATGAGTGTTGCGTTTGAGTTTGGTATTTTGAGCTATTTTGAGATTTGGTAGGGGAGAGGACACCTCTGAAACGTTTTTCTTTTTTGTTTCCTTAATTAAAAGAGGCGCGTGCTCCTTTTCTTTGTTTCTGTGATTCAGCCAAAACGAGGCATTCCCTAAAATCTCACTATTTTGATGAATTTTAATGCCGAAAATTAAATTTTTGTTCTCTTTTTTTTGAGCAACAGATTAAATTCAACTCTTCCTTTTTTCAGGTATCTAACGCCGCATTCGAAACTTTGAGATATCCAGAACTTCTCCCAAAAGCAGTTGACCGGTGAGTTTAGGGAAATATTACAATGAAACTGGTGTTAGACGCTTCATATTCATACAGGGTTCCCATATATCAATCATCATAACTGTCATTATTTCTAATCCTTCAGATGTCCTATATCCTTTTTTTATCACACGTGAACAGTTCAGAGATTAAGAAAGAAAAACTGGAAACGGCAAAATCTATAGAATATACGTTCTAAAGATTTTGCCACAATTTTTGGCATTTCCTTTTGAAAATCTCTTTATTGAAGAAACTTGTATTCCAGTTTTTATTTTCAAAAAAGTATCTCAACTTCCTGATCAGTGTTCAAATCCACCAAGTAACCTTTAAAAATCATCTTTCGTCCCAAAAGATCACTTTCGGTGACGTCAGTGCTAGTTTTCGATGTCCGCTTCTCATCAAATCGAGAACAAATTGGCTTCCAAACAGTGTCAATGACAGTGGTTTGGAAGAAAAAGACATATATCAATAAAGACACACACACACAGAGAGAGAAACTTGTCGAACACCCACTATCATTTCTATATCATTTTTCTACACCGTCCTTCTATAGCTCCTACCGTAGGCCGAGGATCTTAGAGAACATTGACAAAAAAATTACGATCAGTTTTCAACGATCGAAGACTATCTCTTAATTTATCGAGCCGCCCACGCTTACAATTTTTTACGATTCCAGCCCTTTCTTTCCATTCATCCTGACATATTCATTCAGAATCAGCTACGTCTTTCTCCCACTCTCTTTTCATTTTTTTTCTCGATTTTCCCAGAAAAACAGTTCTATATTTCGAACTACAAATCCCAACACAGTTTTCGATGAGGTGTTGAATGTTTGGTTTTTTTATTTTCGAATACGATTCGCACATTTTGTTCATAGTTTCTGTCTGCAAAACAGATTTGATCCGCGTCACCATAGTTCCCAGTTTATTAGTCATGGAACTGATTAAATTATAGTAAAAAGTATGGGGAAAATAAGACAATTTGTTTATTTTGTGGAACAAAACACGTCAAAGAGTAGTTCCGAATCACTTCCTGCGTCTGAATAGCACTGTCAGAATATCTCGGTCAAATTTATCCATTGCTAAGTTGGCTCCCCGGGATGTGGACAAATTCTATTTAGCTCATTTTTATATTGAGACATTTGGAAGTTTGAAAGTCAAGCTATTCACGAAAGGAATTGTTTTCTGTGAATACTGTACTGAAGGCCCACCTTTCTATGCTCTCCTTTTATTAGTAGCGCAACCTAAAGCTGGCATAATTTTATAGGTTAGAAATAACGTCAATTGATCTTATTGTCTAGTATTGTTTAAAACCTTCCGAACTCGAAATTTCAGTTAGTGGCCTCATTTTCCGATTCGTTTTGTTTCCAATTCTTCATAGAACCAGCTAGTCTTTTTTTTGAATTGCTGACAATCAGAAGCGAAATCAGATTTTTTTTTCAAATTAGAAGCGCCCCAACTACAGTATTCCATGTAGTTTTGACTTCAGTTTTTATGTCCTTCTATTTTTGTTTTTTTTTCTACTTGAATTCCAGCTGCTACATAAGCCAATTAGAAATATTCCTGGAATAATCAATCAAGAATATGAAAAAACATGTCTGGATACTCAGCAGCCTGATGTGTTTCGTTTTGTTTTGTCTAAAAAATTTCTGATTTAGTTTTTCCTATAACTACATACAGACTCAGTGGAATTCATTTTAGAACTGAAATTATAAATAGTGCCTAGAATTGTCAAAGCTACAGTATCCGAGTGTGATTTAAAAACCATGAATATTCAAAAAATGAATTTGTTTTACTTATTTTTTTCGTATTGACTTCTCATAATAGTTGGGCCTCGTTGAAAGAAAAACTCATGAAATTAGAAATTATTGTTTTACCCCAAGTCTCTAGAAGAACTAGAAAGCCAAACTACTCTTTTTGGATCTTTGTAATTTACGGTTACCGACTAAAAATTTTTAATCCAAGATACAAATTATAATAAATTCAGGTTTCATTTTGAAGTTTAAATTTACAATTAAGAAACCAACCACAGCCTTGAACTCACAGAAACTTATGTATACTTTACTGTTGATACCTTCACGAATCAGAATACTTTTTAATTTTTTAAGTATTTATCAACAGATAATTTGTGACTAGTACCGTAATCCGTGCGAATTAATTTTTTTGATTGGTTCGGTTGATTGGAACAAACGCATCTCAGATAATGTGTTATTCTTTCAAACCGATTTCCACATTTCCCTGTTTCCGTAAAACCTGTAATACAAGGGCCCTTTTCCTCTAACTGTGAGCAATTTATCTTAGTTCTTGTCAACTATTTTTAAAAAACTTGTTAACTGATTAATCGCCTATCATAATATCACAAACATTCTATCAGTTCACACATTTTTTATATCACGCATAGGAGCCGGGAAAAATTTTCTCAAATTGGACAGTATTAGGGCCCTACTACTACAGGTTGTACGGAATGTTATGAGATTCTCTCATAAAACAACTATACTTCAATTTTTCAGTTTCCTCGCGGAGACCGTCGTTATCGCCCCGGGTAAAATCCTCAGCAAAAACTACATTTCCGGAGAACAAGTTCGGCGTGTTGTCAACATGCAATCGGAGAAAAAAGAGCGATCGACATCTATGAGCGTTGGTAAGGGTTTCTGTGGTCTCCTCTTATGTTCACATGAACAATAGGAATATAGAAAACAAGAGATTTTAAGAATTATCCTTTATACTGTCTCGGTTGGCTGGTCACCTGAAATGTTTCTCTTCCGCTTGATATGTCAAAATCCTAGAAAGGAAACTATTCCTTTTTTATACATCTCTTACACGACGTATGGCTGCCGCAAGAGGTAAAACTGGTCAGATTAGTTAGTAAAAAATGTCATAATCAGTTTAACACAATCATTGAGAGTTTCCCAATAACAGCATATTTTCAGTCCGCCCATCAGATGTCGATGTTGATATCGAAAAGAATGAAACTAAAAAAGAACCTGTTGAAGTGACAGGCTCAAGGCCTTACTTCCTTGGAATGAGGCAAGATATTAAGAATCGCTCAAAGTATTTTTGGTCGGATTACACTGATGGATTAAACTGGTCAATGATTACTGTCGTCGCTTATATGTTTGCCGTTACTGTCGTTCCAACTCTCACGTTTGGAGCTATCTTAGGTAGACTCAATTAATCGTTTCATTTTTCATGAACTTTGTTGCAGAATTGGGAACGCAAGGCGCTCTTTCCGTCAAAAGTTGTCTCTTTAGTCAAGCTTTCTCCGGCTTGATATGGTCGCTTTTTGCTGCTCAACCTCTTCTCATCATGTCTCCGACCGGACCATTTTTGGTTTTTGAGAAAGCATTGTCTAAGGTATCTTCCTCATTAATAAAACGCTACATGCGTCTGTCTGTCCCAGTGTCAGGTTGTCTACTTTTGAAATCTTCGAAACTTTTGAAATCTAGATTTACGTGACCCATAGCGCACCAGCTTTGAATCTATAGGTTACATACGTGTAGTCTGGTTAAGCACGGGTTCATCTGAACAATGTCATACGGTATTAATCAGACATATCCCCTCCCCTACTCAGATCTGCCTCGTGAGGGGCATTTTTTCTGAGTCTTTCATGTCCTGCCCTCCTTTGTTGCATTCACCTGGTCAATAAATTAAATTAAATTAAATTAAATATACGTATTTTCTCTAATAGAAGCTCCACCTCGACTGTACAGTTACATTTCTCGAGAAAAGCCCACCCTGAGAAGGAGGTTGTAAAATAAAAGCCCATGGGCCTTTATTAGATAATATTTTTCTTTGGAAAATCTCTCGGTAACAATCAATTGTCTCAAAATTGTCTTCTAATCATAGCAAATTGCTCTGCATGGGGAAATTCAGTTATAGCCCCCGTCTTGGTCACCTTCTACCTGGAGTAAGGAAATATAGTGCATCATTACAGTTTTCCTCTGACATTAAGAAATCCACAAATATCGTAATCAAAACGTTGCTCAAAACCAATTTGCTCAGAATAAAATCAAAAATAATTTTACTTGTTTTCAATAACTTTTTCCAAATTTTTGAGTTTGACACAATTTCAATAATAATAAGTAGTTAGCCTTTAAGTGTTGAAGCAATTTTCTCTAATTTTCCTATCCCTCTAAAAGATTCAGACAATATTAGACATAAAAACTCTAGTTTCAGTAACTTCTGTCTCTATAAGAACCCCACATCAACTTTGGGCTCAATTATCTCGATTCTTGTGGAAAATATAAAAAAAATTTTCAAACTTACAAATTATTCATGATGATACTACCACTAAAATTTAATTTGTAGACAAATTTTTATATCTCACATAGGAATCGTGATAATTAAGCTCAAAGTTGACTGTTTGGGATTGTTTCTAGTAGAAGAAATACGGTAAAACCGTGAACGGCAAAATTAACATTTGGTTAGTACATCAAGCCATTTTAGAACCGCTAATCTAGTTGTGCTAGATTTCTACAAGAAAATTGTTCAATTATAGATTTGACGCTCACATTTTTTGCGTTCCCTGCAATTTTAATGTTAATGATTTTTTCCAGTGTGCCGCTTCCTGGGATTATGACTACATTGAAGTCAGGGTCTACGTCGGAATGTGGCTCTTCCTCTTCACGATTCTCGGAACTTCGGTCAACTGCGCTAGATTCATTCGCTATGTCACGGTTTTCACAGAGGACATCTTCTGCTGTCTGATATCTGTCATCTTTTTCACTGAAGTCGAAGAGTTCTTGATGCGCGTAAGTGTATTGTTTCAGTTTATTAATACTACAGTAACATTTTTTCAGCAATATGAAGAAAACCCCATTGTGAATCTCGAGTATTATACGACGAAAGCGGCTAATTGCACAGGAGATCCAACTAGTAAGATCAGTTGAAAACTGACCAAAATCAGCTATTCGGTTTCAGGTTGCTCCCTTCCTGCACCAAACTCGTTTTTGATCCAAACCATCCTTCTGGTACTCTCTATTGCAATTTTCCATTATCTGAGACAAGTTGGAATTTCAAACTTTTTTGGAAGAAAGGTAATTTCCGATTTAATTGCATAAAAGTAACTGTGTTTTTCAGCTCCGGAATCTGTGCAATAATTTTGGAGGAATCTTCGCAGTTGTCTTTGTCAGCATTTTGTACCATTTTCTATTCAGCAACGTGAAAGTTGCTGTAAGTTTTTCACTTCAATTGATGTAAACATATTCCAATATATTTCAGATGGTTCAAATTTCAGACACACAAAATACTACTTCGTACATGTACGGTTTTCTAGTCATCCCAAAACTAGCTCCAGACGCTTTTCTGATCGGAGGATCCTTTATGGCTGCTGTTTTCCTTTACGTGTTAATTTTCGTGGAGGCGGAAATTCCAGAACAAATGGCATTAAGAAATAAGAGAAAGCTTAGAAAAGGAGGCGGACTTCACTGGGATCTGATCGTCGTTGGATTTTGCACACTGTTCAGTTCATTCACAGGTCTTCCCTGGATGTGTCCAGCTGCAGTTCAATCTTTGGCTCACATCACCGCATGCACCGAATACGAAAAGACACAAAGAGGAGAACCAAAAAGTGAGTAGGATTTCAGGAAAATTTATACTATATAATATTCTTTTTAGAAATCAAAAGGGTCCTCGAGCAACGTGTTTCTGGAATCGCCACCTATATTCTTCTTCTCGCATTTGCTTTTTATGGTCATTTCTTGGCTATTCCATCTGCGGCAATCTTTGGAGTCTTCTTCTATTTGGGAGTCCGAAATCTCGAGGGAAACCAGATGATTCAACGAGCTTCTCTGGTGTGCTACCTGCCCAAAAATCGTGGTTCCCACAAGTTCTTAGATTTGGTAAGTGACCTTTTTTTTAAAACTAGGAATTTGTTGACGTCATTAGTTACTGTACCCTTAAGTCAAGAGGTGTATCCCTATTTTTTTTCTCCCTCACAACAAACACATCCGACCACGAGGAAGATTGTTTGATCAACGAGGGGTTGCTAGCTGCAGCGAAAAAGGGTTGCCCCCTTCTTTTTCATTTTTCTCTGATCTTGTCCCTCTTTGTCAGCGACTAAAAACGGTATAGGAAAGCGCGCAAACTGTCTGAATTCTCCAAAACCGCGACACACTTTTTTTCGAAGAAGAAAATTTCACCCGTTTTGTCACTCATTCGCACACTTTTCGCTGATCATTCTTTGATGGATGTTTGTGTACAGAGGCGCCCCCCCCCACACGTGTTGAGGCTGTTGTCTCATGTGCGCTTCACATGGCATTCATTCGAGTTTTTTTGGCGACGCAAATATCTTTGAAAGACGAACCGGTGTTGTTGAAAGGGTACTACCCTTTTTCTGATCAGAGGTTGAGTGAAGAAAAGCCATGAGAACTCTCCTTTCAAAAACAAATCCAACCAGAGAACACTAGAACAAGTAGTTAGACGTTACAGCTTGCAACTGTTGACCTTTGAAATATACTGCTGTTTCGTTCACTTCATACGTCACAAGAAAAATCCTACTTACTGAAACGTGATATTCGTTTCTCTTCCGTCTTCCATTGTGTCGAAGAAGACATGAAATATAAGGAAGACGTGCCAAATCGTAGATCAGGAGAAGGAGAAAGAATTTTCTCTACAAAAATGGTGTGATCTGATGACATTAAATCTATCAGGGTGAATTGGGTAGTTCATGTATGATTACCTGATATTCACTTAGTAAAAGCTCCGCTAAACACTTATATCTAGAACGGAATCCCCTTGAAAAAGTTTAACTCCAGGTTTTTGTGTTTTTCTTTATTTTCAAAACGAGCTCCAGAGGACCTTCAGCATGTGAAAAGCATCGTTCCTTTTTTCCAGTCTAAACATCAGTGGAACTTGTTCTTTGTTCCATCGACTCCACTCATTTCTTCTTCGCCTTCCATTCTATTTCGACCACCAATTAGCAAAAAAGTCATTGGTCAAAAAAAGTTGTCAGTAGACTGATGATACGACCGTACACACAAATACGATAATGGTGGTGAGAAAACGAGAAAGACACGTGCAAAATAGTTTTTTGGGGAAGAACAGTAGAAACGAAAGTGACGGCAGTTCTTATCATATTGTGTAGTGGGCTTCCTCGGTCTTTTTGCATCACACTGTTTTGTGGAGTCACGTTGGTATAGCGGGGCACGTTGACTTCTTCTTCATTGACAATGAAAGAAAATTCGCTGATCGGCGTGTTGCGTATAGAGAGGGCAAAGTCAAAAACGAAGTGATTTCCGTCTTACAAAATCACACGCGCACCTTTTGTTATTATCAGCTGTAGTGGAGATAGATTAGTGATAACGAAGAGGAGAGATAGAAGATTACAATTGTAAAGTTCAACATGTTTATCGTGATCGTTTAGCCTGGCGACAAAAAAACATAACTAAATTTAGGGTGATTAAGGTAAACACATGAAACGCACAAAGGCAAAAATGATCAGGAATCATCCGAGAATGTTGTAAATGAAATTTTCCCATGGGGCCAAAAACTTGGGATTCTACGAAAAATTATCTTCTTTTAAAGAAAAAAATAACTGATTAAAGATCTTTGAAAATCCTCATTTCAGGCTCCGTTCTGGGTTGTTCAATCATACACGGTCCTCCAAATCATCTTCGTTTGTGGGATGTATGTAGTGAAAAGCAAGCCAAGTGAGTTTTTTTGAATTAAAAGAAAACACTAATTGATTTCAATTCAATAAAATGTTTTCATTTCAAATATCTACACAGCTTTAATCATTTTCAGTAGTCTGGTGTTCGGATGTCAAATGTCGGATCACTTTGAAAATGTTGGAGATTTTGAAACAGGTCTAGATTGAAAACTTTGCATCGACCGAATTTTTATCAAAAACCTATTTTTCAATTATTTGCCGGATTCTGATGAACACCTCATTTTTTAAACGTCTTCAGTGCAAAAATAGCAAAAAAGGTGTTTTCCAGAAATCGGTAAATAACGGAAAAACAAGGAATTTTCAGAAAGTTCTGTAAATGCACTGTTTTCAATCTGGTCTCTCCTCTGAAATTTTCAAAGTGATGGCACACTAGACATCCGAGCTCCAGAATTCTCAAAATCTAATAAAAACACGTTTTTGCATATTTTTATGACCAGCACTGTAACTTGAAACATTTTCAGCGCTTGGTGTCCTGTTCCCTTTATTCCTCGTTATCACCGCATTCTTCGTTGCTGAAGTTCTTCCAAGAGTCTACGATGAAAAACTTCTCGAAGCGGTAAGATTTTATATTATGTCCTAGTTCAGTTCCCCAGCTTCACCCCCAGAAAAACCATTGTCCGTGAGAAACCGCGTGCGCGGTGCGAGTGTTACCTCCCCCACCAAACTCATTTCCTCTATATTTATCGAACTGTTGACATTAGCGATCGGAAACGCCGCTCCGTCTGTGAGTCACTAAAAACGTCGAGGGTGTTGTTAGCAAGGTGATGCGAAAACTAATGGTTGTGGGGTGTGACTCATGTGTGACATAGTGACTGTGAGAAATGCGCTGAACAAGATGCGGAAGGTGTCGGGGCGGTAAGTAGTAGACGCCCTTTCGCTTCTTCGGAAGTGTCACCTCGTGGGGCTGTCCAGTAAATAAGAAGACAAAAATCAGTTCAGTCTATATTATCAATGATATCAGTAGAAAGTAGGTGGTACACATAATGATAGTCTGTGTTTTGAATTTTTTGATCAAGCGAACACAAACAATTGGAAATATGAAATAAAAAAGATCCTGATTCTCAATTCAGTCTTTGATTGTTAGTGTCATTCCTGGTTTTTTAGTCATCAAGAATGCAGGAAAACACTTCTGGACAGCTAGAGAAAAATGCAGCCTGATCAAAACTAAACAGTAAACTTTTTTCAGCTTGATGAGGAAGACGAAGAGATAGATAAAAACGAGGATGAAGAAAGTGCTGAAGACTTCTATCACAACGTCAGAATACCCGTCTAGCTTCAGTTTCTCATGAAAGACTTCTCTTTAAAACAAATTCCTTTATTTATTAAAACTGGTGGTCCAATTTTTTGTAAAAATTCCCTTCCCAAATTCTCTTGTCTTGAAATGGTCATAATCGATACCCGTATTATTAATCTTCTCGAAAATCTCTCAAAGTCTCCCAATTCCTTCCCAAAAAAATCAAAGCTTGTCAGTTTTACTTGTCAAATACCGTGTTCTTCTTCCCGCATCATTTTTGATATTCTGGTTTGAAAAAATTTATTGTTCAACAATTGAACCCTTTGTCCCTTAGTTTTGGCTCTCTTGAGCATCTGCTTCCCTTTTTATTATTGAAATCGCTTTATTTGGAGATAAAATTTTTTTAGAAAACTCAAAACGAAAGGTCATTGTTCCCTATTTGACCAGGCGGTGCCACGGAGCGTGCGCCGAAAAAAACCTGTGGCATGTCTGGCTCGTAAATCAGTTTGATGATCGTTTTGGACGGAATTTCGGACGAAATGCAGTGAGGTCAGATTTCAAAATCCCTTTGGCGAAATCTGAATGGAATGCAATGTGTTTTAGTACGTTACTAGCAGATGGATGATGTTTCGTCGACGTCTTGGCCTCGGTATTTGGTTTCATCAAAATGTCTTGACGCCTCCGCGCTCGCTCGGATGCTCGAGATTCCGAATCATCTTGTTGAACCGAAAAAGTTTTTTTTTGCAAAAAGTGTCGTCGAACGCACACAATCGCAGACAGGGTGGAGCAGCACTCGCGAAGAAGCACCGAACTACTAGAGGCTCCCCGAGTTGTTTTTGTTTTTTTTTTCTCTCTCTCTCTCTTCAAACAATTGGCCTTGGGAGAGAAGGGCCAAGATATACAAAATGGGCTACCACCACGAAAAATGTGCAAAAGTGGAAATACAAACGGAAGAGAAGGAGAAGAATGAAATCGAGTTGAAACTGGTTACGCATAGAAGCATCGTTTCTTGTTGTTGTACACACTTCCAAAATGACGAAATCAGTGAGAGGACGAGAGGTATTAGAAATTTTGAAATTTCTCGTGTTTTATTGGGTCAAAGACATTAGAATCATTAAGTTTTGGAATCAGAACTGCACCCTAACTTTTATTGTGAAGGTTTGAAAATTCAAGTTTCGCATTGCAAAATCCCTTTTCATAACTTTTTCCAACGCTGACCCCAGTGATCTTCTGGTTTTTCATATTCCGTGGATATCTGAGATCTTAAACGAATTCTGCTAAATTTCTCCGTAGACTTTGTAGCATATGAACTATGTCATGAAAAGAGAAACGAGCTCAAGTCTTTTAAAGATACAGTCTCGCGAAACTCACGTCTGCCGTTGCGCTCAGAAGCCGGCGGCGGAAACAAAATTACACTGATCACCGATGACCAGAAGGCTCGAGTTTTGCTCTGAAGGTTTTTTCCAACGACACATGTTGATTTCATGTGTGTGCAGAGATTGCAGTACTAGCGAAGATCACTTGGAGGAGGATATCCCTTTGGTTCATTCGGGGTGCGAAACGTTTGATCCCCGTAACGTTCATCAATATCTTCTTTTTTTTTCCTTCTTTACACTCATCGGTTGATATCTGTTCGGATTCTTGTTCCTCGTTTTGTTAGCCCTGAGGGGAAGATCAAGAGAACAGAATCATAGATTCTTCATGAAGGACTAAAATGTGTTTTACATGGTACACATCTGCTATCCGTCAGAAGTCATTTTCAATGCAGCAGCATTCTCTTCTCATCAACATGACCTTCTAAAAGCTGCTCTTTGTTCCTTTTTTTTGGCGGAGGAACTGCAGAAGAAAATGGAGGGCTAAGAAATGGCGAAGAGCAGGCCTTGTTTAGATTTTCGATCGTCTAGAAAAATAGCCGAGACACTCTCTTTGTGTGTGCCCGCGCAACTCTTATGCTGGGCAGGCTTTGAAATAATGATGCAATCGAAACAGATCTTCCAAAATGGAGTGCGTCTTCTGCTAGAGTCGGAGTACAAAGAGTGACTGGCACCTCCAGAGTTTAGTTTTTTTCTTGGACAAGAGGTTAGCAAGAGCTCTCATATTTTTGGAAAAGGAAACAGAATTTGAAATTCGACGCAAAAAACTGAGAAGATGAGAAGCATCCGTGGATTGGCAGGGACAATTGACATCGACACCAGTGTCCTTGCTCGTTTTCAGGTCATTTGGTCGTTTGGCTACTGCACCTATAAAACACAAGAAAATGACTTTGACTACTAGGTTTTTTATCAATCAAGTACAAACTTTTATCGCCGCCGAGACAAGACCAAATTTCCAAACGGCGACGAAAAAGAACTTATCTCCAAAAAAAGGTAGTGAATGACACGCGGTGTCATGTTGGACAATGATAGCAAATCTGACAAAATGATCGATGTTGATAACTCTTGGGGGTTTCCCAAGTGTCCTCTGGGAACGTTTTATCTTCTATCTCTCCGTTTTTTCCCTTGATTGTTCCCTTGAGAAGGTCAGCACGAATAACAGATCTGTGAAACAGGCAATCTTCTAGTTCTGCAGAGTATTGCCTTAACGTTTCCTAGCGATCCATGATCTTTCAGCGGACCCTTTTCCGAGAATAGCCGCCTAGTCAAGCGTGCGCGCCATTCTTTGTGTGCTGATCAATTGAGAGCAACATTGACCTTTCACTTCTTCTCATCGAGTTTCCAAGTACCCGAAGAAGCACGTCTCCAGAAGTTGCTAAAGTTTCGAAAAGCACAAGCTACATTCTACCACAAAGTGTTCAATTTTGTCAGACGTGATTCATCGCTGACTGTACACCTCCTTTTGATGTGATCCAAAAGCAGGCAGATGTTTGAATGTTTAACCGAAGCCTTGAATAAATGACGGTGGAAACACAAAGAGGATTCGATTAGTCTGTATACGAGAAAATGGTCACATTTTAAAGAAAATGTGGGAGGAAGAAGAAGAAGAATGAGTACAATAGACGACGATCAAAAATAGTGTACGGAGACCGTGTGGGTAAAGAGACCGAGGCTATTTACAACACGATCCACGCGCCGTCGATTCTTCATTTTCACTGATCGGAAACACGTGATCGCCATGTGGCAAATGCGGTTGGGTTCACCCTTTTTCTCTTTCTTCTAAATTGATACGATCATCTGATGGGCGACGGAAGGTGTATTTGTTGCTATCTTTATAAATAACGATCTAGACTGTAGATGAAGACGATAAGCACATGATTTTGCAAATGGAAAAATGTTTATTACTCAAATATTATAGGTAATCATAAATTTGGCTAATAAGTGCAAGGCGAATGGAGTTTTTTGAGTTTCTGAGTTCTGAGGATTGAGAATGGAGAGTTGGCGGAAAGGAGAGCACGATGAGAGTTTCTGGTTTAGGCAAATGTGGAAAAAACAATGACACGCAAGAACAGGGTTAAAATTAGTGAATCGGGAAAGTTGCGAAGAAAACAGTCTTCAGGTACGAAAAGCAAAAAATAACAAACAAATCAAACGAAGTGAGTAAGGGAGGATAATTTAGACTGAAAGATTGATAGGCAAGAACTGCGAAACGTCGAACAGAGTTGGAGGGAAATTCAGGAGATCGTAGACGTTATGAGAGGCGACAACAGGTCGTGGAAAAGTGATTGGGCCTCTTGGAATGAGTCCTTCCGCGTAGAGATCAATGATTGTAGGCTTATGGCAATCCATGGGTTTGCTGGAAGGCGAGTACTCCAGATAGCATGGCGAATCGCGAGATGATGAAGAAATAAAAGATGATGCTCGGGATTCGGGCCGACTTGGTGGCAAGAGTGTCAGACATCCTTTGCTCATTGTTTCTTCTACTTCATCATCGGCTTGAAGTTGAGCAAGTTCAGCGGCCAGCGCTTCATGTTCATCTTTAAGTTGGTGCAGCTTGCTAGTTTGGTCTGCAACCGCATCTTGGAGTTCCTGCAAAAAGAATGGGATGAAAACCTTGTCGGAAGTAATTATTTTGCCCCCAAGTGACTCTTCTTTTCAGAAGTTGTAGTAGTTGTTGTACTCAGTAGAAAGGAAGACACTTTGCGTCATCTTCAAGAAACAAGACAAGTACTGACTAGGGTCACAAGACCAGGTGGTAAATAGTGATGAGTGAGGAAAGGAAGATATTGTCACACGACAATTGATGATAACACGCTAGACGCACGTGGACGTCGGCCGCAGAAAAATTGAAACTTACAATTATGTGATCCCTGGCTCGTGTTAAAAGTGCAAGGGTGGTATTTCTGGTGGCATCAGTAACGCATGGAACCAAGACTTTCAGAGTTTCCAAACATCCTCGAAGGTTGGCTCTTCTTGTCTTCTCGAGCTCATTGTGAGCTGCCCTACTGTGTTTGGAGGACTTTCTAGCTGGAGGCGAGGGACAGTAAGGTTGGGATGAGGTGGAGGCGTTGGATGAGCAAGATGATGAGGAATGCTTCTTTGTGATCTTTCCAGTCAGGATAGATCTGAGTTCGGTTTCTAAAATATAGAAGAATAGATTAAAGATCAGGGATGCGTAGTATCTTTACCATTTGTAAGATCGAACATCGTTGGGGATGAGGATCCAGGGGAGGATGCGTTGGAGGTCAGGGCTCCAAGATCCAGGGATGAGATGTCAAGAGCGCCAATGTCAAGAAGACGGGCGGCGGTTAAAAGATGTCCGAGGTTCAACTGTTGTTGATCCATTGTTACCAAACAAGGGAATTACAAGTTGGTACAGTATGGGAGCTGACAAAAAATTTGGGGGATGCTTTCTGGCGGGTCGTTTTGCGTCCAGACTGAGGCGCTGGAGAAGTAGGAGGGAGGGACGGGGGGTGGGAGCGTCAACCAACCCGACGTAGGGGAGGAGAGACGATATGCAGGGCGGGCGAGCCTGGGGCGGGGACAACACACGACATCAGAGAACGAACCGGGAAAGCACCGGAGAGGCTGCAGACAGTGAGAGGTCGTGTGAATACACGTGCGCCACGCATGAACCCTTCGGCAGCACGGATCGGCCTCCGATTGCGTCGTCGCCGTGGGGAACCAAATTTGCTTGTCCCTGTGCGCACGCAAACATCGCAAGACCTCGTTTTCGGCAACCATCCGCTGCTTTTCACAGTCACCTTAAGGTCTCCGACCGCGCGGAAAGAGATAGATACACATTGAGGAATGGCCTAATATGGATACTTCCTTCCGATCGGGTTGCTGCTGCAGTGGTAGAATCGCAAGATCGGTTCTGTTTTGTTTTGCAAAACGCACGGTACAAAGAGCACCAAATATGGTTGAGAGATGAGATTAGTACCGAAAGCAAGTAGGGTCGCCCTCGCTTCCTCTGCTGGCGCTACCGTCTCTCTGATCAGCGCAGATAGTAGTGTAGAACTGTCCCTCTGTTCGGGGGAATACCCACGTGAATTTCCTCTACCGTGGGAAGAGAGATAGAGATGGGGGTATTTCCGAACATGTCATCCCCTCGCCTTGTGACTTTGATTAGATGGTTGCAACCACCTATGACATTATATATTCGCCGTTTACAATCTATCACGTGTCGCCTAATTTTTTAGCCAACTTCACTGTCTTGCTGGAGTAGGATCTTGATGATGGTGGTAAAATAGAAGAAGGTGGTAATGGTGGAAGTGTGACGAAGGCGGTTTCTGAGAAGAAGACGTCAACAAACTCATTCGATGAGGTACAAGGAGAATCAAGTCCTCAATTGGATCAATTTAGGAATGAAACATCGTACCTATCCGAGCATAAGGAATGACTAACATTTTCGCTTTCGAAACACTTTGAAAGAATACCCTAACATAGAGTCATAGTCTTTTGCAAACTTCGAAACAATGACGAAATACATATCATCTCCTACTCCTTCCGGGCTTCCTCCACGGATCGTTTCGGATTGCAAAGAAAAAAACGCGTTGGTGACACAGCAGCAGCGGGACCCTCCATTTTTCACGTGAACCATACGGCGGGTCCAAACAAAAACTATGTACCCAGTGTGATTTTTGAAAAATCACGTGTCGATTCTTCGACGGGAGCCCGTGTTATCCCCACCACCGACGTACACAACACTTTGTCATACGTACACGCGCTGCTACTTTTTGCGATTTTCTGATCGATGAGTACGAGAGAAAATACATTGATCACGAGCGACAGGGGGAATTAAGAGAAGTGACAAAAAATCACATTTGTTTTGTGTGCCCATCATCATCCTCCTCCAACACCATGTGTTCAATTTTCTGGAACAATTCGCTGCAGGGGTAAAAATACTTTGTCCTGTCTAGGATTTCTTTTTTTTCCGTCTTCGTTCAATATCTATTAAAACCTGGGGAAACCCTCGTCACTTCAGACGTGTACGTGCGAAAATTCCTCGAAATTTCGGAGCGACACGCAACTCGTATACATACATATACTTCCAACTTCCTTTAATAGAAACACGGCTCCCGAAACCTCTTCGCCAGTCCTGAGAATTCGATCTTTTGACCGCTTGGACTCGCGTGTGCGTGTGTGTTGGTTTGGGCTCTGTGTCTATAAGCGTGCACAAAACGTGAAGTCCAGAGAGAGGAGCCCCCCTCGAGCAAAAAACCGCGCAACATACATCGAATGCAAACGAGTATTTCCTCTCAGAGCAAGTTTCTCGCTCCCACCGAAAAAAAGGTCCCTCGACGTATGGCGCATCTGTGTTTTATTATTGATGAGACTCGCGGCAAATATAGCCAACGAGATCTATATACGTGTGGTCAAAGAGAGAGTCAATCCGAATTGCAAGTTATTTTTGCCGCGACACAATTACGACTGTTGTGTGGTCTTCACTTGAAGGAACGAGAAGCTGACTGGCACAAACATACACTCCTCTCTCTTTTCCTTCTCATTCGTTCTGTTTATGTGCTGCTCCGGGTGTTCCCATCGTCGATTTGTTGTGGTTGAATGGCATCATCGTAGTAGTAAGCACGAGCAGATATTTACTACACTTTTGCAACAAAATGTGAGGGGAGTAAGTACCCCTTAAACGATGCCATTCTCATTCTACCCATCTCCCGAATGACCACACTAGCAGGAAATAGATAAATCTTCATGTCTGTCTCCCATCGCAGTTGTCGCCAGAAGAGGAGTGGGGCCACCCAGGGAGCGAAAGGGAGCCGCCGCTATGTCCATTCATAGTCGTTTCGCTCCCCCTACTTATTATGCACGCAATGGGTGGCGGTCTACAACGGACGTACGACGCTCCGGATGAACACACATCAAAGGATTAATAGTTGTAGTGGTGGTCTATGTTTAGGGGCCCAACGAAACACGTCACTGGGTTGTATCAAGTACCCCTTGGAAAGAGGAGAAAGGGTCACTCGAGTGGTTTCTTGATCGCCGAATTTTTCCCTGAGTTGAATTGAACATGATTCGAAAATTGAATTTGTTATTACGTTGTCTGGGGTGCCCGCGGTGACTGCCATGGACTTTGCACCTTATGAAATCTTCGGGGGTACTACCTTCTTAGAAAGGAGTTAATTGTCAAGTTCCTAGAGCTCTTCGCAACAATGTTTTCTGATCGTCCAGACGAGGAGAGCCGCCACCGACAAAAAAGCCACCCATTTTCTTCCTCCTACACACTAATTGGATCCGAGGCGTGTATGTTGAGAAGAGAGAAGAAGCCGAGCGAAGAATGAGAATGCTTTCGAAAGTTGTGGGCCTTAAAATGAGGAAGACAAGCATCATTCTTGGCTAGAAATAGATTCTTCGATTCTTTTGGTATTCCATTAAAATCCAAAGTTAGAAATAGAATGTGATTTGTGGATAAATATTGCATCAGCGGGGGAAACATTTTTTGTTTCAATCTTTTTTTTTGATACAGGGCAAATTGTTACTGTTGCAAACTACACGTGCCGTGGTTTCATAGGTTTTGATAAGAAACATCGTGGCGGTTCTCCGGTCAGTTCTAGGTTTCCCCGAAAAATTGATGATAGATCACAGATCTAAAGAATCTAGTAGGGATAGTTCCTTATTCGGTCACGAGTTAGGTTATTGGTTATCTGAAAAATACTAGGGTACAATTGAAAAATGATACACGTGAATTTGCATGTGTACAGCTAAAGAATACAGTGACATGACAAACAAGAAGTCTTAAGTTCTTCTTCTTCCATCACCACCACTAACATCAGCTTCCGACGCCGTCATGATGATTGTAATTCAAAATTTCTCGTGACTCGATTCTGATTCCATTCATGTTTGCCATCACACATATTTACACCATCTACATACTTCCAAATCTTCCATTCCGTACCACCCTTTGAGAAATTCATGTGATTGTATCGTGTACGGCGAATGTAGTTTACCGAAAGTGACGATGAAACGGTTTTTCAGTTATTTCCACCGGTGACGATCAAAAAACGTACGTAGAATTGGCATGACGGAAAAAGGGGAAGACCACGAGTTTAATCGAGTGTTCTTTGCGTCTGATCGCGCTGGTTCGTGATTATCATTTTTCTGGGGAAATACCATATTGCAGGTAAAAATGAGTACACGTTAATGATAAGGGCATCCCGCGTGACCGTTTCTTTTCCGTATTCCTGGTGAGGGTCTAGTAAGGTTCTTGAGGTCAAAGTGAAGTATGAACAAAGTAAAAATGTACGTGATTTTTTTGCAGGAATGCGCAGAGTGACGTTCAACGCAAACTTCAATTTAGTCAATCGTCATTTGTGTTTTTGTTTTCTTCTTTTTCACTTGGGAAGAACAAGGAATAAAACTAGGAGTAGTACACAAAATATTTCATTTGCAGGTCATCGGGAAGAAAGTGAAAAAAAAAGAAAAACAGTCTTTAAGACGCGCTGTTGATCTTCGTACATTTTATCTCTCGATTTCAGCACATGGTAGAGAAAATTGAAAAAAAATATAAACAAGTTGAGAGTTGAAAGTGTATAGTTTTGAAACTATTTTTGAGGGAAAGGAAAATTTCAGCATTGTAATTTTTTAATTTTGTTACTGAACTCTCAGGGTTTCTTCCTTGTTTCCCAACTGTACTTGACCCACGTGATAAGCCTAACATTGACCTCACACGATGGCATTTATTTTAGCCTACGAAAACCAGTTTTTATACGGTAAGCGTACATGTGAGAGTGTGTTTGTATACTTTTTTCAGTTTCACCCTTTGCCTCTCTTACATCACTATTTACAGACAGACAGTTTGGAGGAACCAAACACTGCTGTATACTTGATACACAATGTACTGATACTAGAAGCAATCAAGTAGTCGAATAGCTGGGGGGGGCGCCCACAACAACGCCGCATCAAGCATGTGACGTCGGTGTCATTTCTCATTTTCTCACGTTTTCGTCCATCTACCGCATGGACTTTGCCCCATCCCGTAGTCGCCCGGGGCGTACGCACGTGCATCCCATGAGGCAATTGATATAGTATACAACGCAACAGACAATAATTGGAATTATTCATCTTTTCTCCGTTTTTCTCTTGTTCTGCAGCCGCAGAGATTTTGATAAAGATACGCACGCGACGACGAACAACACACGTTGGTACGGTTTTTGGGAAACACGACACAAGTGATGGAAGACCACACGCTGCGCAGGGAAATCGAGCGAGCGAAACGAGATTTCCGATATATCCCTATGCCCACATCTTCTCATTTTCTCATCTTGTTCATGGTCACGTGGAAGTCGAAAGGATGGGAAATGCCGTCTAGACATCTTAACTGTCCTTTC